TCCAACATTTTTCACCCAGGTGCCTCTCTTCTATACATGAAAGCCCTTATCCCCCTCTCCTGAGTAATGTAATCCTTATTTAGTAATAACATTTCTGAAAGGTAGATAACAGCATTTTAGTTCAGCTCTAATAATTCTGTTGTCCCAGAGCTGGAGTTGTAATTGCTATTCATAACCAAGTTCGTTCCATATGCAATTTACTTAGGATGCAGTTGCAAAGAAATGTTCTGTATGCCCTAAAGAGTCTGCCTTTGTTGTGTGATGAGCAAAACCCCCCATCTGCTCTGCATTTCCTGGGTCCTACATCTTATGGGAGGGAGTCATTCTCCTCTGTGCTTGAACTCCATCTATTGAAGATTGCAGTAACATAAGGGTTAACCTCCTCTCTCTCTCTAGTGCCACAGCCTGGCCTTCCCAAGCTTGTGTGTGTGTGATGGAGAGAGAGGGGAGAGTGAGCCAGAGTCGAACATGGTAATCAAAAGCAGCATTGTTAGATTTTACATGAAATGAAAGAACTAGAACTTAAAGACTCAGTCTGGCTAGAGGAGTACTGTGTAATAAAGTACTGTACTCCCTGTAAGGAGATCAAGATATGTGGGTGACTGCTTTGAGTTGGAAGAAAAATGTGCTGTAGGATTTAATAATAATAAAACCTAGCTCTTCTTCAGCATAGACCCCACAGTGCTTTACAAGTGAGGTAACCCATTTTTAAGATGGGGAACTGAGGCACAGAGTGGTGCTATGACTTGCCCCAGGTCACCCAGCTGCAGTATCAGAAATAGAACCTGTATCTTCATGAGTCCTACTGAACTGCCCTGTCCACTGGAATGCACTGCCCACTGCTTGGGGGCAGGGGGACAACACAGGGGGTGGCTTTCTGTGTGGAAGCTTGCTGTAGGATACAATAATTTAAAGTTTAACTAATTAATTTTCTTGCGGTGGAGATGAAAAGGGCAAAATGTCCTGTGAGCAGCCCAAGGAGGCCCAGCATGCCAGACCGGAGGAACCCCACACAGCACCTGCAAACAAGGCAGCCAAAAACTTTAGTGACGATTAGAAGTCTTTTTCAAAGAGACGCTCTAGTGGTGACTGAGCTTGATGCAGGAGTCCCTGGGTTAAGTCTCTGGCTGTTGTTATGCAGGAGATCAGAACGGCCAATCACAATGGTCATTTATGGCCTAACGCTGGATTTGGTTCAACTCAAACCAAACATGTTTCCCGTTTCTTTGGAACTGCCAGTGAGCTGAACAACCAGTTATTTGCCCAGTTCTAGTGCTCAGCTTACCTACAAAGCTGTGATTTTGTTAAAAGAATGTCCCCAGCCACCCAAAGAAAGACAGACTGACAACAGAGAGAGGACAGACCGAGGTAAAGGGACAGGCTCACTCTGTTCTGGTCAGAGGGGATGGGAGCGGAGTAGTTGTGTCAGGCCTATGCTCTGCCCTCTCTTGGGCGGGTCAGATGCCCACATCTGGGCAGGCTTATGGGTGGGGAGCTGGAGGGGAGGACAGTTTGACAAGCAAAGATTCACTCCTTCCCAGCACCCGGAACAGGAAGCGATCACGCCCAGGACAGCTGGGAGAGAACCCAAGAGACACCATGGCCCCAGACTCAAAAACCTAAGAACCCCTTAGACCAGGGGGGTCTCACAACCAATTTTTTGGTGGCCACAGTGTGTGGCCAGCAACTCTTGCTGGTGGCCGCTCTGACAAATTTTCCTAAAATACTTCATTAATTTTAGGAAAAACAAACAAATACACACACAGACATGTCAAAATCATTTAAATTTATTTATGTAAGACTCAATAATAAAAATAATGTACATTTGTATTTTGGTGCCCCTGGTCCCCGCTGCCTCCCCCCATCCCCAGGGACCCCCCCCACCCACACACACACCACTGGGATCCCCAGCACCACCCGGGCCCTGACGATCCTCTGCCATTACCCTAAGCGGCCTCACACCCCAGGCTCATCCCGCTCCTTGCCTCTTGACCACAGCACCTGGTAAGATCGGCTCTGCTGAAGCCCACCCCTGGAGTCCCGTGGCTGAAGAAGGGAGGGGTGGAGGGTCTGAAGCCTGACCCCAGAGTCCTTGGATGAAGACATGTGGGGGTTGCTGAAGTCTGCCCCTGGAGCCGGTGGGCAGTGCAGGAAAATCCCCTGGTCACCGCATTTGAGAAATAGACCCACAGCTTATAGCAGAAGATATGAAAAGTGAAAGAAAAGGGACAGATACCAACAGTAGGCAGGGAGGGCAGGCTGTCTGGTTGCTAAAACCAAAGATGAGGAACATCTTGGCTTTGACAGGGAAGAAATTGCAGAAATCATAAAATATACAGAGAAAAGGGCAAGAAGTCCCAGGGTCAGCCCGTGCTTAAAAAAAACAAACCTCTTTATTTTCCAATGAAGATTACTTAACACAATTTAAAAACCCACCTCACTCTGTCACTCCACACCACTGGAGCTGTGCAGACAGACACATCGTAATCATTTCTGGAGGAGTCTTACCCAGCAATTGCCTGTTCATGGCTGCAAACCCATAGGAGAATCTCAGAATTGCATTTTGGTTCAAGAATACCATGGCTCTGACAAAGATGGAGCTTTAATCCTGGGAGTGCTGTACCTGGGGGTGATGCTTCCAGGCAGTGCTTCTCCATATTTCCAACCCCTTCTGATGCCAGCTGATGAGAGTGGTATCACACACTATGCAACTTGCTGGGTGACCAGGAGAGCTGGGAAAAATCCAACATCTTGCGGGATTTGGCATGAACATTTCTGCCCTCTTGCTGTGCCTAGCACATCAATGGAATGGCTACTTTTGTATTTCCAGTCATTGGATAATTCCTGCAATGGTGAGACACAAAATCATATTTTGTTCAGAACTGGCCCTTTTGCATTTGGAAAAATACATGTTTGTAAACAACATATTTTTTTCAGAAAAGCAGCTATTTGTGAGTAGATAACGAAATATGCAATAAGCCAGGATTTTGCCTGGTTTTTCATTTCCCTGAGTGTTTCACATACCTCTGTTTTCTTCACACTCCTCATGGGTACTTCCTCGAGCTCTTGGGCTTGCAGAGAAGGGATGGAGTGGGAATGGCATTCTGTTTCAGTGTGAACCATTCCAATCAAGTGGTGATTATAAAAATGTCTGTGTGAATAATAGCTGCTATGATTGTCCCGCTAGCTCTCCTCTAGGCACTTTTGAAAGTGAGAACTCATATATCAGTAATTTTACATTAGGAGGCCATGAGAAATGACAAGAAGTGAGTGGGAATAAAGGAATACATTAAATAGACACATCATCCCATAATATATATGTAAAGAGAAAAACTACTGGTATTTGAACTGTCCTGAGACAGGCTGCTCTTGGGGAAACATGATTTCTGTTCAAATGATGTTGTTCTGTTACCATGGGAAACTCTTAATTTAACTCTTATATTGCCCTAAAGAGGGGATGGCAAGGGTCAGTGAACAAACTAGCAAACAATCTTTTAATCTTCCAGTCAGTCTGCGCTATTTCATACTCTTTCACTGCCTGATCTCTGACTCCAGCAGTTTCTCAGAGGCGATGTATAAATCACAGCCATCAGTTAGATGTGATAGCATATGTGCATATTTCTTTTTTATCCCTATTTACATGAAAAAATATCTGCCTGTCTTAGGCACTGATAAAGTGTCAGTCATTGTTGTAGCTAGACTCCAAGGCATCACGAAAATGCAGACAAAAAAGAAAACTGCTGTGTCCCTCTGAACCCCGCCTCCATCCCTTCCCACTGGCTCCAGTCTCATTTGCAACTCTGTTCAAGAAGAGGAACAGAAGAATTAATAACGTGGAAAAGGAGGCATTCACAAGCAGCTGATTTTGCTCTTGTGTCAGAGCGACACATGGTCTCGGGGATGCACAGGCAGGATCTCTTGGTATTAAAGAGGCAGCGAATGTCAGGGTGTGCTATTCCTGTGTGTTAACTGTCACAACTGGGTGGCAGCACCAAGGGAGTGCTTTTCTGCCAGCAACAGCAGTAAGAAGGTGTCTGGGGACCCCCACCTCCAATGGATGTATCATTGTCTCAGCTAGAATGAGTCAAAGCTAAGAAGCAGGTTCTCCAACCATATCTCTAATAGGGACAGGGAAACCAATTTGGATAGTGTAGGGAGATATCTGCACTTTTATAGTGAACTCTAACTAAACTCAGACTAATTCTGAGGCAATGTCTACATTACAAAGGCACAGCTGCTGTTGCTTTAGCACTTCAGTACAGACGCTTACTGCAGTGTCGGGAGGGATTTACCCCATTGCTGTAGATAAGCCACCTCCCCAAAAGGCAGTAGCTAGGCTGGTGGAAGAATTTTACCATTGACCTAACACTGTCTACACCAGGGGTTAGGTCATGCTGGATTTTTCACATCCTGGAGAAACATAGCTATACCAATGTCACTTTTCAGTGTAGACAAGCCTGGAAGCTCAAAATATTTGAGACCAGAAGCAGAAGCACTGATACTCATCAGGAATGGCATATTTAGGGTTCCCCCAGCCTAGATGGCATCAGGAAGAATCAGAGCTGTTTCTCACATGATTTCCAGCCCAGTTTCTCAGTCTCAAAGGTCTGGATAGTTCTGATCACTTTGGGATACCTGTCCTAATGCTGCTGAATCTTTGATCTAAAGATGGGCCTACTTCCCTAAAGTGTGGGGTGTTTGAGTCCATGGTTTTGGTTTTTGAACCTCTTCTGAGGTTCCCCTATCAGTAATTCATAAGTGTTTGTAACTCCTGGGAGCTCCAGGCATGCTGTTTTTTTCCTCTGCAATTCACACTCTATTTGTGTTGTGTTTAGATATTCCTGCTCTCTGAACTCTCTATGCCTCTCACGTCCTCGCTTTCCTTTTATTGTCTCACTATATGACGGGGCTTTGGCTCTCATTGAATTGGGGCTAATGTGGATGCATGGCGTAATGGATATGTTGAGTAATGCCTTGCTTGTTGTCATTTGCCTTGGCAGGTCACTATGGGAAGGATATTTATCGAAGTGGAGGGCCAGATCTCCATAATTTCATCTCCTCCGGGTTTGTCACATTAGGAAGAGGACACGTGAAGGGTACAGTGGAAACAATTTTTTGCTAAATAAAAAGATTGTTTTAAATAAAAAGCTATAACTCAGAAGCTGGGTTCTAAGTGATAGGAGATAACAGTCCTGGACTGCAGTCAGTAGATTTATTCTAGCACATCTTGTTGCAGGTTAAATATTGTGCCGCTGGCAGAGTCTCTTACACCCTAGTGAGGGAAAGAGGGGGAGTGCAGAATTAGGGAATACAGACACCACTCTGAGTTTGCAATCCGACAACTTGTATTGCTTTGTGTTTTCTGGGAGCATGGATGCAAACTGACCCTCTTGCTGCTGCTTTTATCTTGGGAACAGAAGGGTCTGTAATGCCACCCAAGGGGGTAGGTGGCACCATTTCAAGAGTGGGGATTTTTGTTTATTCAACTGATTTCCGGGTTGTGGGGATTTTGTTTTTGTTGTTGTTGTTGTTGTTTTTTTGGTTTGGTATTACAAATATTTTATAAAATGATTTCTTACAGGTCCACGTCCATATATTCTGTGTTCACATAATCTGTGATATACTGTACAAACATGAAAACACATAAATATACATATTGTGTGCTGTGTATGTTCTGTGTATATGTACTGTATATACAATCTATGTTGAAAGATAGTTGTAGCTATATTAGATAAGCAAACATATAATCCTGTTTAGGAGTTATGGTGATAACAAAACTGCAGGAGCTGGTGTTGAGTAACTTGTCACCAGAACCCCAAGGTGAATGTTCCTTTTATAATATTGTTGCATATGTCGGGGGTGTTTATAGTAGATGGTGCGAATGTTTGTTTGAACCAGTTTTGTGTTTACATTCCATATTCTAACAAAGTCACATTGGTATGTGGACAGTGGATCATATCGCTGGGAGTGCAAAGGTGTGCCACATCCATACTAATCTGATTTTGTTCCTTGCTGATTTATGAGACTGTTGTACATTTATATAGACACAATGTATGTGGAGATGCTTATACAGAGCCAATGTACTATGTGTGGAGCCGTGTCCATGTGCCCGCCTGGTTGAACGTACATCTATTGTTGTTTCCGTGGATGACCACCATTAAAAGAGTTTTATTTTTCATACATTTGCTGCACTTTTTAAAATTCTCCATGAGTGTCATCCAAAGCGGTGTCAGTCCTGTAGAACTTTCAGAGAAGAAACAAATATCTGTATATTGTCTGTGTATGTCTGTGTGTATTTAAATAAAGTTTATTGAGGCTGAGGCAGCACCCATGGGACGTGTAATGCACTTCCATCCTGGGTAGAGCACTGGCCAGGAGGAAGCAGAGGGACACACCACTAACCTTCTAGGGGAGAGGGGGCTAAAAAGGGGCAAGGAAGGAGATGTGGATGGTGGGACACATAAGGCCTCCTTCAGAAATGGGGGTTTATTGTTATTTCATATCCTATCAGGGCCTGAGCTCACACTGAGCATGATGGGATACGTGTTTAGGCTGAGATGATGAGCATGGGGAGTGCACTCAGGCTGGGGTGCAGAGCACAGAATGGTGTGTCCAGAGCACTTGGGACTAACTGCTGGGATCCCCTGGGCAGGGCCTGGCAACATGCTCCTCCCTCTCAGACATTTTAGTTGATCTTTAATCAATTTACTGTACAATATTGTTCAGTTACTTCTATGTGTAAAATAAAATCTACCTTCCTTCCTTAACTGAAGAGGCTCAGGGGGGTCTATTCTTCCTTAGATGTGCAGATAGATGATTTATACACACCAGCTGTTGGCTTTCCTGGGAGTTCCACACCATACATTCCCCATCAATAAGAAGATGGGAGAATAGATGATCTATATGTAAAGTATAACTGATAGTCATGAAGATAGGAACATACTTTTCAAAGTGGACAACTAACTTTTGTTGCTTGAAGAAAATTGCCTGCCTTAGTTGTGTATGAAGTCAATCATCTCAGTGTTCTCTATCGGTTTGCCTTGGCCTTTGGGATTCAGTTTAAACTGTCTACAGGTTTATATCACATTTAAATGGTATTTCAGTGTGGTTAACTTTTAAGGGCAAATTTTCAAGTTTGCACACCACTGATGTGTCTTAAAAAGTGCATGCACTGATTGCACATGCAAACTGCCATATTTGCATGTATAAATCAATAAGTGGGCACATAAGTGTCTGTGTCACATTATCTATTTGCAGCCATAATTGTCTGTCTGTGCTCTGAATACAGGATTTTTTTGGATGCAACAGGTAGGTGTGACTTAGGAGCATTTTCAGTGGTACTTGTGCTCAAGTCACTTAGGAGCTTTTGAAAATCCTTCCAGGCATATCTGCTGCACTCTTGCTTGAAATTTTCCTGTTGGCTCTAATTGTCAGAATAATTGTACTTGTAGACAAAAGAGACTATGTCCCAGCAAGCATTCTGTAGCTTTGAGAGACTTGCTTCCAAATTTGAAAGTGTCCGATACAATTCTTCTTTGTAGAAATACAGCTTCATGTTGAGGCTTCATCATGGGTGATTTCCAATGTGTGAGGTGACTGCACTATCTCACCCTCTATTAACCAGACAGCTTTCTCCTGCCCCATTTATTATGGTATCATGCCAGTAGCTTCTGTCTCTGGTTTGAACAGAGCCTCGGGAAGTGCATCTTAATATTTCTTTGCACTAGGAGACACATTTTCTCTGTTTTCTCAACTGTCTCCTGTGCTATGGCAGCACTCCAAGTGCTGACTAATATTTTAGAATTAGGCTATTTTGGGAAGGAGATGGGGATGTGAGACGTGGCAAAGCACCATGGATACCACATCAGTGAATTCAAGTGCCTGACATTCACAAGTTCCTGGGAGATTGTGATTTATGATTCTTGTATGACACTCTGCCGGGTGATGCATCACTGCCTGACACTAAAGTCTATAAAATCACTATACAATGTATTCTCCAAACCAGGGGAAAGGCCTCTACTCTCAGTCATGTGCAGAGGATCGGGGGACACATCCAAAGTTTTCAAACCACAGAACTTCTTATTGGTGAGGTATAGTCTCTTCTTTGATCTCCCTCCTCAGTCAACTACCCAATGAAATAAAGAAACGGTCACTGAGTACTAGAACTTCTCAGATCTCAACTAATGTATTATACGAATGTTCTTTTGCTTACATTTTCTCCCTTGAATCGGGAGCTCTGTGGTTTTGATTGTACCAGATAATAGCTGCTTGAGGATATCCCAATTCCCAGGACAAATTCCATTCATCCTGCTCTGCTGAGGTATGGCAGGTCTTTGCTTTACCGGATGTGTTGAGCCATGGGTAGGCAAAGTATTGACTGATAACCTCAGAGAATGGACACACCCTGAAAAGTAGCCCTGCAAACCTGTCAAAGTGGGTTCCAATATTCACTGATTCTCAATGACGCCAAATCAGATTTTCTCAGTTTGCAGGTAAAAGCGTGTTATTTCCAGCCCCACAAACTCAGCCTGGGCTTTTCTGATCTCGCTGATCATTGCTTGAAATAAAGATTCTGCACCCCAAATTATAACTTCAGTTTACACCAGAGCAATACCTTTCTCCCCTTTGGCACCTGTGTACCGTAATTAGTTTTAAGTGGGTTTATGCAGGTGTCACTGGTTACATCATCTGAAGACACTAGGACTTCACAGAGATAGCTGATGAAATTTGACCTCCAGAACATCTGAGAAATAAAGAACTCAGCTTGCCTCTCAGATCCCAGAATGAGTTTGTGGGGCTGATACTTTTAAACTGAGCACAACAGATCTGGGAGCAATGAGACACAGTGGATATGGAGTCCTACGATGACATTATCACATTTTAGGTTAGAAGTGTACTTTTACTGGAGTTTTCTTTGACCTTGTCAGTTCAAGCCAGACCCTCAATGGGATACAATGCCTGGTACAAAATCAGAAAATCACACACAGACATGTATTTTACAAACCTGGATGATTCAGCTGTCCGCACACAAAACTCTGCCCCAGGCTATTTCCAGTAATTCTGCAGACATCTCTCATGCCTCTTACAGATCCGACAAAACTGAGCTCTTCCAGAAATCACTATGTGAAATATTTTGCTCTGGTTTTGGGTGGCTGTAGATCACTAATGTTACAAGCTTTGTAGCTCATTGCTGGCTGTGTCTATGCAAGCCGTTTTTCTGCAAGTCTTCCACCTTCACACTGGCACCGGTGCCTGCTCCCGTCCTGAGGCAATAGGTGGGAATGCTAGTGCATAACCCCATGAGTCTACACAGTGCTGGTCTGGATGACGTGATTGTAAAACTTCTGGCAGCCTGCCTGCAATAGTCCGTGTGGGGCTGCACCAGTGGCTGTGCAATGGTGAAACATTTGAAAAGTATCGGTGCAGGCAAAGTCAGTATGGTATCTGAGCACCTGACTATGCTTCAGGTCTCAATATGACATAGAAAACAATACTCTGCTATTACCTGCATGCACCCAGTGGTACCGTCTGGTGGCCCTATATTCCACATTTGCCCTGTGGTACTGGCCGGGTACCTCTATCCCACATTTGCCCTGTGGTACTGGCCAGTTGCCTCTATCCCACATTTGCCCTGTGGTACTGGCCGGTTGCCTCTATCCCACATTTGCCCTGTAGTACCAGCTGGTTGCCTTTATCCCAGATGCTCCCTGTTGTACCGGCAGGTGGCCTCTATCTCAGATTCCCCCTGTAATACTGGTCAGTGGCCTCTGTTTCAGATTCTCACTGTGGTTCTGGCTGGTGGCCCCTTGTTGTGGGTTCCCCCTGTGGTTCTGGCTGGCGGTCCATTGTTGTGGGTTCCCCCTGTGGTTATGGCTGGTGGCCCCTTGCTATAGGTTTCCCCTGTGGTTATAGCTGGTGGCCCACTGGCCTAGGGACTTCTTTTCTCATATCCAAGACTATTGATTTATTCCTTTAGCTGGCAATTTCTGAACTGACCACTGGCCATTTCTGTGCTCTGTATCTGCAATTAAAATAAACCCCTTCCATCAATGAAAAGGTATTTTGCTCCAATGTGCTCCAGGGCTTACATTTGGCA